ACTTGCTAAAGTATGGCATTTATGGAAAGTTTTTTGTAGCAGTTGTTTCTTTGGATAGTTTGATTTTATATAGTTGCGCATCGTTTTCCCTGAATGTTTTTAGCACATTCTCTCTGACCCTGAGGAAATCGTTGCTATGAATGGGCAAAAGTTGGCAATGCGTTTACAGGTATATTTTTACCAGGCTTCAGTTTGAGGACCTTAAAAATACATTTAGCGTACAAAAACAACTTAGTTAAGAACTCGAGTAATTGCAGTTGCTGATCTTTTATGAACGGATTTTATGAGGACCTGTTTTTTTAGCTCGTCTACTCCTGATGTTTCAAAAAGATGAGTTATTTTTTGATTTAGGTTGCTTATATCAGCTTCTCTGCACATACTGACTATACTCAGACATCAAATTTTGTACGTTCACTTCGGCCGCAGCATTTAGTTTTGGTGCATGGCGAAATGAACGAAATGAATCGACTGAAGGCGGCAATTATTAGGCAGTATGAGGATGACCCAGATTCTCATATTGAGGTTTACATTCAGGTTTTTTTGCTATTTAAAAGTTCTTATACTTTCTCTTTCGTGAATGGTTATTGTATCTTTAGGTACATAATCCAAGAAACACGGAATCTATTGAACTTCACTTCAGAGGTGAAAAGACCGCCAAGGTATTTTTTTTCATCATTCTTTTTCGACACAGAAATTATCTTCTTAATTTTTTTTTGAGGGTTTTAAAGTTTTTACAGCTAGTACGTCTGTTCAGGTTGTTGGAAAAATGGCTACTGTCTCTCCTAAAGATGGGGATGTATTGAGTGGAGTTATTGTCCGACGCAACTTCAACTATCACTTTATGGCAGCTGAAGATATTTCAAGTTAGCTTTTTAAATGCTTAAGCAGTTATTGAACTCATGCATGCTATATCTTTTGAATATTCTCTGTATCTTTTAGCCTACTCCGAATTGTCCAATAGTATTCTAACTCAAAGAGAAAGTTTATATTACGACGGGACTGTGCGTTTGTTGTTGCATAATTTGCAGCAGGTTGCTGGTGATGTAAGCTTGGAAGAAATTGATTCTAAGGATCCCGTTGATCCTAGTTACGTTATTAAATTATTTGATGTTAGTTTTTCGTTAATTAAATATTGCTTTTGCTTTTAGAATTTCACAAGTAATGTCATTTTATCTAGCATGAGTCTTTTATGTATTTGCACTTTTAATAACTGAAAACTAACTAGTAGAATTTTTTCTTGATTTTCTCTTTCAGGATAGCATTCATATACAAGTTTTTTCTCTGCAACACGCAGTTGTTATAGAATGGACCTCAAATCCTGTAAACGATATGTTTGCTGATGCTACAGTTGCTGCAGTTCTTCATGCGCAAACAAATCCAGTACCAGACAAAAGTAGAGTTTATTATATGCTTTTCACAGTTATCTAGGCGGAAGCTTTAAGGGGTTTTCGTGAGACTGAAGGTTATTTCTTTCAGATCTAGGACATTGGAGTGAGAAAGCCGACGCAACGGAATGTTTGAAGAAATCCCTCTATGAAATTTGTGGCGATACTGGGGTCATTAAAGTCAGTGATGGCGTGATTGAACTCGAGGTGGATGGCAAAGAGGCAAGTATTGACGTTGCTACTCTGCGGATCACTTGTTCTGACCAACTTTTACATCATCTTATTTCGTCAGTTTGCCAAAAAATAATTCATACACTTTCACCTATTTGTGGTGGAAGTACTAAATAAGCAGCTTCTAAAAACTAGATTTTCAAGCGGATTTCTTTTTGGAGTTTTATTCTTACCTTTTTTTTCATACCGGAAGAAGATAACCAGTAGTGTGATTTTTACTTTAATTTTACTTTAATTAGTCTTGATTCATGATCCGGATTTTTTTCTACTTGCATCTTTTGGTTCATCCTTTGTAATTGTACAGTGTAATCTTTTTTCTTTTTATTTTATATTTATTTATTTTTTTTGATGCTTTCTATCAAACTGGTGATTGTTGGTAATCCGATCTCTCTATATAAAACTCACTGTTACGTACGGGTTATTTTTGCTGCAAATGCTGCTCGAATTTTTTCCTTTGTATTTGTTAATTGATTTTCTGCTAAACGTTAGAGGCTTACTCAAAACTTTTAAAGTAATTCCTTTGCCGACAGAAGTAAGATTATAATTGTTTCCGCTTCAATTGTTCATGCTTCTGTTCTCGTTTTTATGGAATTAAGATTACTGATTGTTCTTCTTAGTCGGCATGAAGCAGCAGTATTTCATTGTTCTTATATGTAATGAAGAAATAAACTTTTGAAGAGTACTACCGTTTTATACAACACTACGGGTTTATCTGTGGATTGCGTTGGAAGCTTTTGATAGTAAGGGAGTTTTGAATGGGTAGGCACGAATTGGGTAATTTGAGAAGTCCCTGAAGCTACTACATGGGAGTAACATGATTGGATGGACCACTGATTATGCCGTTCATGTAGAAGAGGCTTAGTACAAGTGAATGAGTATTTTTTGTACGGATAATGTTTGGTTTTGGGATTATTGCTTTCGGTTCATTGCCGCAACCTAATGGATGGAGAGGTGCCATCAGAATGGTTTTACTTTGGGGTTTTTACTTTTTTATCTTGGCATCGAATTGAACATGGTACTTTGTTCTCGTAGAAGTATTGGTCTTACTGGCGTGGAAAAGCAGGGCCGAACTGCATAGTTCTATTTTAGTGGGTCTTGGAGTGCGACGTCTCGCGGCGTTGCATATTGGTTTTAATGGACTTCTGAAGTAGACCTAACTTTCTTAAGATAGTAACTGTTTGTTGCCTTTTCTACTTTTGAAATCTTTTAATACAGCCGGCTCTCGTCGGTTAAGTGCTACTGCATTGCGCAAGAGCCGGCTGTACATTTGGAATTCAATTATGCGTTTAAGATTTCCCTGACACTCAATCGTCCCCATCCTGCGTTAGTATGATATTTAAGCTGGGTAAGGAAGTATGTGAAGTGGTGAACGGAAGGTATCACTTATAACTACACTTTTGATCTGCGTGGCAGTAAATTTTTTCCTTTTATTTCTGTTTATTTAAGCTAATGGTTGGGACATTTCTTTAAAACATAGTTTAAACGTTGCATCTGATGCTTAGCCTTTTCATTTTTTCTGCCTTGAAATGACGCTGGTAGAAAAGGTTATTCTTGATTCCCCAACTGTCACTTAGTTTTTCTATTCAGCTGCACGAAGTTGTTGATTAAAATTTTTGCTTTAATGAAATTTTCAACTTTCAGCGTGGTATTTTGATACATATCTGAAGTTAAAATTATTTTTTTTGATAGGTGATATAATACGGTAAAAACTAGACTTTTTTTGAAACAACATTTAGATGTTTGATAAACTGAGCGAAAATATTAGTAATATACAATTTTGTCGCCTGTACAAGTGTTGCGGTAAGTACTTCTTCTATTGTTTGAGTTTACAGCGTATACTGAATCTTGAAAAAACCTCGAATTGTTTTGATAATTTTTTTTCACCACATTGTGTTATGTATCGGGTACTATAGTCGTCACCTTCTGCACGTAACACCTTTTTTGAACAGTCATGGTAGGGTCTCGTTTGCTTATTTTTTTGAGAAAGATTTGTTATGTCTTCGCTAGCTTTTTTATTTTAAAGCAGAAATGCTTAGAGTTCCTTAAATGAATTGGTCTCTTCACTTCGTTACAAAATTTTCTCGTATCAAGGAGCATCTGCTTTTAAAAAAATTATTAAACGAAATAAAATCGATTTTGGAAACGGTGATTAATAATAATGCTGAGAGTGAGTGTTTATAATAAATAAATGTTTGATGGCTTGTAGAAATTAAGTTTTGTAACCGGCGATACAACGTCTCCTGTTTCTGGAAAATAAAGTGGTAAATAAGAGGAAACCTTAGATATTTAAATATTCAAAACCGACTGATTTTTAAACATCTTAACTGGTAATTCGTAGTGAAGGAAAATTAAAATTTGTTTTGTTTAGGTATTTGAAGTTCTCACCTTGAACTTGTTAAACTGTGATCATGCTGGCATTTGGGTTTGTCCACGTTTTGAAATAATTCTTTCTAATGATCAACTGCTTTATTTTTGACAGAACAGTTGAGAGAGGTTTTGTAAGATTAAATAGGACAAGCTATGAAATAGTTCACAATTTTTATAAAAACTGGGAAGTACAGTTGTTGATTTGGCAACTTTTTTACAACAAGTGACTTCTCGAATCCTAATACATGCTATTCTTGATAAATGTCAAATATAAAAGGAAGAAAATTTTACAACTTTATGTAATCAAAAGCTTAGCAGAAGTTCCCCTCTTGAATTCTGAAAATCATTCAAGATTTTGGTAATTATGAGCGTGCAAAAGAAATTTGACCCACTTTTTGTTTTGAACAACATAACAATTTGAATTGTAGAACTGAGCTTTTTTGTAGCTTTTGAAAATCATGTTTTTTTCGATGGATAAAGTGTCAAAATAGAGTTTTCCAAACTTTTGTCAAACACTCCATATTTTTCTTTCAATTTGGCTTTGAATGTTTGAAACTTATATTAATTATTTTAGTAACAGTGGGGGAAGTTGCAGTAGTAACGATCATGACAGCATTGATGAAGATAATAATTATACTGATAACGGCACTAGTAATAATATCAATAATAAAATTATTATAACAATGACGGTAATAAAATGTAATGAAAATTGGTTTTAAGCCGAATTTAAGATTAGACTTCCAAGTTGTACGTCTTGAATTGTTTATGGAAAAATCGGTCAGGTTGCAAAATGTTCTTAGTCTTCACCTGATATTGAAAAGTTCTTGATAGACTGTAGTACTTTTTCTGTTTGAACGTTTAGACGAATAAACTTTTAAGCATCAAGTGGTTTAGTCACGTGAACCAAAAAACTTGCTTTTTTAATTCAAAACAAACTAATTTTATGCAGAGTTTCACATATTCAGGTGGACTGATTCAGTCATTTCCTAAAGATTTTAAAGAAGTGAAAGTTTGGCGATGCCTGGTCGCAGGTGGCGTACTAAAGATGTGTCTGTAAAAGATGCATCAGGGTTGAAAGATGACGGTTTAGCCTCAAGTTTAGATAGGTTTGCTGAGGACACCTCAATGCTTGGTTTCCGTTATCTACACACAAAATACGAAACTTGGTTCAGGTAAGTACGCAACGGGACAACCGTTTTTTTAACTTCTAACTATTACATTTGGCGCAGTATTATTTGAAATATTTAATTACAGGTATTTAAACAGTGAAGTAGAAGCAATTTGGTCACAAATATGAGAAATTCTCTAGACTTTTGAAGAATACATAGATTAATAAATCAGTGAGAAGTGAGGTCTAGCATTATGCAATTCGAGCACCAAATTTGCAGGGTAATGTGGGGTACTTTGCTGGTCTTTTTCCTAGGGTTAACCGTCTATCAGGTAATGGAGCGTATCGGATACTATTTTGTTCGTAATCCCTTGAACACTCAACGAATTTATGACAGTCCAAACCGAGTAACATTTCCAACTGTGTTGCTTTGCAACAAACTGCAAATGAAGTAAACCACTTATGCTCATTTTTTCCAATAAGGTCCTTTTTTTTAATAGTCTGAACTTGCTTAAGGCAGAATACAGCAGAGTCTTATATGGAATACAAAGAGAATAGATTGCTGATGCAGTGTTAGTTGATCGTAATGTGATTTGAAGAGTTTTATCAAACAGACGTTACCACTGTAAGCAAATAAATACTGTAACTCTATAATGCAATTGCAGAGCTTCAAAAGTTGCTTATTACAACCCTAAACTTCTGGGTGCAATGGCTTTGATGTATAACGAAGACGGATCTCCTTCACTTGATCCGTCTGTGGCGGAACTTGTTGCTTCCTTCGATGAGACTGATTTTTTCCACATCTTTCAAAGTTCATTACAAAAACCAGAAGACCTTCTTCTGAGGTAAAAGAAATTTTGCTAATGACAATGCTGTAATCTCTCTCATACCATCCCAAATTGCATCTCTTTTTGCTACAAAGTAATGCCAAGGTTCTGTGGCTGATCCATTTTCGCTCATTATTCGATAACCTCTGAAATTCAGTTGCTATTACGGTAGAGGACAATCCTGTATGGATGAAATACGCCCGGTAATTACACCAGGCGGTGTTTGTTTTGCGGTGACCAGCAACATTACTGTCGAGCGACCAGGTCAGCTGATCAAAACACTCACTTGTAGAGTACTGAAAGAATTTCACCTCAAAATAAGTATTAAAAAATAAATAGCGTACTTAGAGCTCAAATGATGCTTAGTCAGGTCCAGAAACAACTCTGTCACTGCTACTGAACTTGGAGAGTTACGAAATAATACCTGGCTGGGTGGCAGAACCTGGAGTTGTGGTATCGATGTACGATCAGTCGATTCCACAAACAGCTTACTCAGGTGAAGGGATTCATATAAGCGCCGGAAAAGTAGTTACAATCCCTATTAACAGTGTTCGAAAGGTAAGATAAACTCACCTGTTTTCTTCCTTGCTATCTGTTCCTCAAAAAATATCTTCAAAATCTGTTGTTAAGCGACAAAAACTCACTGGTATTGCCAACTGTTTTTTACAGCTTCATCGTCATTCTAGTATATGTGGTCAAATTAAAGTTGGCAGTTTCAAAAAAAAAGACTATTCAAGAACTGCTTGTCATTGGCACATGACATACGAAAAAATATGCAAACTTTGTGGATGCATACCAATACAAAGTCCTAGATTTATAGAACCAGAGTCGACGAAAAAGGTTTACTTAGTTACCGGTAAAGTTAGAAAAACATTTTGATGAAACCGTTGTAACTGCAGGATGGGATGCTGTTTTTGAAAAGTTTAATGGAAAAATCTCATGGTTCAATTGTTTTCAACAACACCTGTACGTTGAGGGAAGAGTTTCACTGCGTCAACAACATTTCTGTACGTATTTATTTGACACTGATCACAGAGACACTTGCATTGATATTGCGAAAGTTCTAAGATAAGTTTCGCCTTATAAGTAGAGTTGAGAATAAATGAGCAAACATTTTTAGAGAATTTACCACGACAAAATAGAGACCGAGTCTATCGAATTATGCCCAGAAGACTGTATTGAAATAACGTATAACACGATTGTATTCGGTAACAAAATAGATCCCAACGAAATTGCGACTTTTTTGCCAAGTGACTGGGAAGACGACAAGGAGAATCGGCTTAATAGTTTTCAGGTTTGATGCGATACTGGGAAAAATTTGCTGTTCTAACTTTTTTGACTGCGTATCAACGATAGGCAGGACTAGAACAAAATTGATTGCGCTCTTGAATGACCAGCTGTAAAATGTTTTTGCTCGTGTCAGGAACATTAATCAACTTTCCAACGTCACAGCAACAGAAATATAAATTTTACTTCTAATCTAAAATGCTTGGATTTATAAGCACCGTCATGGATTTTCAAATTGAAAATATTGTGGAAATGATACGTTTACGTTACATAGCACGTCGTTCTTTTGCAGCTGCGCTGGTTCCAGTTTGAAAAATGCTGGTGGCGAAAATTCTTTTGATTTTTCATATGCAATTTAGCTATTGAGTAGATAAGATTTCACGAGAAATGTCTAACTTTTTATTAATCTTTTCAGTTTTATTCGTCTATTGTATCAGCAACATACCAAGAGACTTCCTAGGCTGCAACTTTGTTCAATTTTATAACACGGCTTACACTGACTTCTCTTTTTGGGGACATCTTAGTTGTTTCTGGTTACTAGTTAAAAATTACTGCAGAACTGTTGTCAATATCTGCTGATTTGCTTTTCATAATTACTTTTTTTAGTGTGAACATTATCACAATTAATCACCAAAACTTCGGAAAAAATTTTCTGCGTTACCTTCTTGATTCTGTAAGATGTTGGTAGTAAAGCTTACTGTGCTTTTAAGATAATAAAATTTACAGCAACATGTTATTGGACAAATATTACGCCTATTTATCTACAACTGTCTTAGTCATAGCCGTGTAATTTTGAAGGAAGGCGCAAACTGCTATTGACATGAAATTTACTGGCTGTTGTCCCCGAGACTGTAGTATGACATTCGATAAAACTTTCAAAACACTGCAACGTAATCAAAACTTTAGCTAGTGAACCTGCGCGAGCACTTTCGCTCAAATCCGACCCTTCAATGAAAGACTCATCTTTTTTGCAGAAAAACAACGTATAAAAAAATTTCAGGCAGTTTTTGATATCATTCCAAAATATCGAATTCCGTTGATCAGAAGCATTCAAAAACAAGCTTACGAAGCACAACGCTTTTCTGAAGAGGTTACTGTTCTCAATCTTACACCTTGTTCCAGCATCCCAAACAATCTTACCAAGAGGACTTCTTTGTGTAAAGTGACATCATTTTTTTTTGTTTGTTCCTAGCCCTCAGTCCATTCTTCCTTTTCTTTTCCTTCGTATTCTGACCGAACTGTCCCTCTCCTCGTTTCAACATTACAGCGAACTTGGACCGCTTGTGATACAGCATAGGCACTACAGTTTCTTAATGGCTTGATTTTGTTTCCGTTTTCCTATGCGGTAAAAACGTCTCTTTTCCTTATCATTCGACTACAGAACTGTTTTTCGTTTTACTTCAAACAGCACCTTTTATTATGACGTATTAAGTAATCTTTTTAGAAATATTGTTTGAAAAAATTTTATTTTCGCCCTTTTTCTTCTGCCAAATCTTAATCTTTCTATCTTTGGATGCACTTTTATAATTTTCTTCAACTGCCTTTGTTTGAATGGAGATGGACCTCCTCTAAGAAAAATGAAGACTTTAATTTATAATGTGGTCTATGCCTTGGCTACAGCATCGAAAGATATGTTTTTATTTGTTTTTTTCTCAAAATACACTCTAACGATATGATTGTAGATGTCTAAACTACTGGGTGTGGAAAAAAATGCGAGTATGGCAGTTCTACCTTGTATCAAGGACGAATCGACATTCAATATCTCCGATGCTATTGATAAACTTCATAAAGCTGAGCCTATTTGGAACTGCCTTTCCAAGTAACAATTGAAATAAATATTTACTTCTTGAACAGGCTGATTTCAAATAAACTTCAAATTTAGCTTTATTGAAACCGTTCTACCGTTCCAAATTGGTTCTATTTTATCACTACTGCACATTGATCTGGACGAAGATTTTATGCTGATCCAAAGCAGCTCTTATGCATCAGAAAGTTACCACGATTTGCAAAAGAAGGTAATTAAAGATGACTTACTGCAGGCAAACAAATGAGCTGAGCGGAACGCATTAGATTAATTTACTATTAAACTTATAGTTGAAGACTTTAAATTAAGAAAACAAGTTGCTACAAATATTTCCTGCAGATTCAGAATGTCAAACTTGATATTGACCTAACAATGCAAGAGGCAAACAACATTTTCGGCATTCAACTTCTTGATCGGTCTGCTAGAAAGGTTGGTATGCTCAGAAGCAAAGTCCTAAATTTGAATTAGATAATTGTGTTTCTTTCTTAGCAGCTTACTTTACCGTTTGAGATAACAGTTGTTTAAAAGTTAATCGAAAATGTGGACTTCAATTAAATTTTACAGCTAATCTGTTAGTACTATTGGCTTTCTCACTTGGTTTTTCAAGCAAATTCTGGAGGGAAAAATCTGATCGATTATTTCCAAATTACCGTATGGCTATAGCTCAAAAACTATAACAATTTCTGATCTAGCAAAAACTTTTTTAGCAGTTTGTAAACTAAAAAACCGTTCTGACCTAATTCAATTAAGAACCAGTCAAAGTTTGTAGTTTGTTAGTATTTTCATCACAACTTTCTTCGGTGAACACAAAAATAATAATACGAGAAAATTAGAATGATATTTAAAAGCCAATTTTGGAAAACATGTGTAAGGAAAGCCTACATCAATAAGGGTGATAACTTTTATGAAATTGAACATTTGTTATCAGCCGAAAATATTTGTTTATCAAGCAGTTTTTTCTTAACAGAGGTGAGGGAATTTTGACAGGTTCTGGCTTAGAAGGTCAACACATAAACACGTTCATCTCGAATGCTTATAAAGCTACAGAGAAAATTAAAGTTAGATGTAGGTTTAATCATATCTTACTTGATTTAACGAATATAAAAACAATTAAGTTGAAAAAAACAAAGCTTGACTGAGGTAAAAATCAAAAGTGGGGGAACAGATGGTCTATTTATCATATAACTCTAAAAAGTGACTGGTAGAGTTATTCAATGTAAGATCCATTGGAGTCAAGTGGCAAGCTTAAATCTAACCTTTTTTTATATTACATTTGATGTTCATTGCGAATCGGAATCTGTGCACTGTTTAGGCTGTACAGCAAAAAATTGTGCAGCTGTTTTTAAACCTAAAAAATTGCTTAACCTTGTCGAACTTTGGTTTCAATCGCACCAGCGCTCTCGACCTGTTACAGAATATTTGTGCTCAGGTATAGTTTTATACAAGCAGTTTTTGTTGCTTTATTTGTACTATAATTTTTGATCTTTTTTGAAAACTTATATTTGTAATTCAATCAAAATATTTTATTTTTGATAACGGTCGACAATTCAAGAATTTGGAAGATGACTACAGAACGCTGCATGCTGGCGGAAGAATACTGAAAACATTATCAGTTGAAACATTCAATACATACGCAAATACCATACAAAAATTGGTTGAAATATTGTGGGATTTGAGATGGAATAGTAAACCAAAAATTTTTCATTGGCGTAATCATAAAATTGATTTAAAACTGTTTAAAGATCTGTACACGTAAGTGCTGATGCATTTTATTTTACAATTCAGCAACTCGTAATTTGAAAGGACATTTATAAATTTTGTGAAAAAAAAAATTGTGCTTTGTTAGAGAAAGTGGAAACGACAGTAGAGCGATTCATGAATTTTTACGACAACGAAAGCTGATACAGCAGGACGTGGAACAACAGGTTATTTTTAGAGTAGTCAAAAAAAAAGTATATTATAGATATGTTTAGCTAATTGACAGATTATCGGAGAGATTAGCTGAATATAACGTGCAAAAATAGCATTTGAAATTTAATGTCTATTTCAGTAGCTTAGCAAAATTTTTCTTTTAACAAAAAATTCTATACAGAAGTGTACCTGAAGCTTTTTGTTGGTTTCAGATAAGGGATGCAATAGCAAAAATTGATGAAGCACTAAAAATTCGACAAAATCTCTTAGCCAACTTAAAATTACGACCATCAGCTATTGAACCAATAAACTCTATTTTAGATTCAGTTCGTTGCCTACAAAATCTATCAGCTTCATTTGAAGCACTACAGGTTCGAGTAGTCTTTGGTCAAAAATAAATACTGTTGCAGAAGCAAAAATACAGCATTGCTTTGAAAGTCTCTATTTAAATAAAAATTACCAGAAACTATTGAAGAAATTGAATGTTACAAATAACTTTGTTTTTTTTTGGAAATAATTTAGCTAAAAACTGATGCAATGATTTTCGCTTCTTACTGTATCAATTTCAAATTAGTAGATAAGTTTTGCTTCACAAAGAAACAAGTAGCTTTTGAGGAGCAAAATCTCATTAGTTTTTTTTTCCGCTTTATTATGATTTTGTTTTACAATAATAAAAAATTTGGCTGACAAATTTTACTCTGAAACTATTGTTGCATATTGTTGTCGTAAAATTTGTTCATCAATTTTGACCGATAATTTTGGAGTGAAAAAAAAAATTTTTTTTGCCTAAATTTTTGAATACTGTTTGTTGAGGGTTATCAGAACGAAGCAATAGTTGTTATTATTTTTTGTTTTCAAGTAAAAAACTTTTAGCACTTTATTGTTGGCTAATGATAAAAAGTATTGAAATTTTTGTTTGGTTTTTAGACGGAAACAGTCTGAGCTCCTAAACAACAGCAATATTTGTTTTGTAATGCAAAGGAGTTTTTTT